TGTTAATGTAAACAATTATTTCCGAGGCACACGTTTATATGATCATTATAGTTATAAAAAAATAAGAGAATAAATGAAAAACAGGTATGAAATACTATATGACAGTAAAAAAATAATAAAGTTTAAAAGGGGAGTGATTTGTTAAATATCCATAAAGAAAAAGTAAATCTGTTTACAGTTCAGTTTCATATTGTTGAGAGAGGTATCCATACTGTAGAGACTGCCAAGGCACACANGTTTAAAAGGGGAGTGATTTGTTAAATATCCATAAAGAAAAAGTAAATCTGTTTACAGTTCAGTTTCATATTGTTGAGAGAGGTATCCATACTGTAGATCTCTTAATTTTGCTCTCAAAGTGCACCAGATTGATGCATTTAACTTAAATATTTAAAAATAAATCTTCCCGGGGGAGCTTGCCCCTGGACCCCCCCTATGTGAGGTCCACACACCACCTATAAAAATAGCACTTTACTCCTGCTTACACCTATATGCCGTGAGCTGATTATCGAGCCTTCATTGTAACTGGCACACTGTGTATTTGCGTGGGGATTGTTGCAGTAGAAAATTCCACTGTAGCGCCCGGTACCTTAATGGGAAACCCTAAATGTTTGAGCACCCTCTATGAAATGTCAAGCTACCCCACAGCACCCCCAAAATAAATCTCTGGCTCCACCACTGAGCCTGACTTGTGTTGTGGGGGCCCGACTTTTTTTTTTCTCCAAAGGGGGGGCCTGACATAAAACGTTTGAGAACCACTGAGTTAGACGATAAGATTGATATCACTCATAGTTTTACAACAAACATTTATCTGGAGCCAGCAGCCTATTAGCCTAGCAAAAAAACTTGAAAGGTACTTTAAATAATAATAATATCTGTTGTGAGCTGGTAGGCAGCCTTGGTTACACTTGAACACAGCTATGCTAGCTGTTTCCCCCTGTTTTGTGTCTTTTTGCTAAGCTAACTAGCTGCTTCTAGACGGGGACGCATTCTCCCAAATGTAGCCTTGAGGCTTAATGCTGAACCAAACTTTAAGTGTGAATGTGTGTATGTTTGTAAGTGTAAAAGTGTAAAACCTTAATAGGAGGTTAAAGTGTAGCATTTTGTTTAGCAAGTTGCAACTGAATGGATAAAGATGAAAGCTGCTTCTGTATGTGTAGGATTTAAAACATCAGTGCCTCCTGGTGGTTGTGTTAAGAATGACAGTTTGAACTTTTAAGCTTTCACATAAAAAATATAATGTATGTAAGCTTGAGGCTTTTGTATATAAATTTACGCACAGTGATAAATCTACTGATTGTGTTTCAGAGAATGAAACGCTCAAGCAGCCATCGCAGGAAGCAGCTGCGCTGTGTGCCAAAGGCGGATTTGATGATGTTGACGATGAGGGTGAGGAAGATGATGCCGGTGATCAAATTATTCAAGAAGTTTAACAACCGCTGATAAGAGGACAGGACGGTCATTTCACAACGAGCTGCACTCACACACACACACACACACACACACACACACACACACACACACACACACACACACACACACACACACACACACACACCTAGTTGGTCCCCTGGCTCAGTCCATTCATACTATAAATGAAGAAATAGTACAGAAAATGTTTGTAATTGATTAGTACTTTAAGTAGAATAATAAGTCCTGAGTGTGTGTGTGTGTGTGCGTGTGTGCGTGTGTGCGTGTGTCCATGCGTATGTCTGTGTAAAGAGTATGAATACATCTAAATCTTTCCCTACTTTGCAAAAACTCCACATATCTGAATTATTCCCTCACAAGTCACAAGGTCAGTAATGCATCCTGGCAAAGAGGCCGGTGCGCTCCATCCCGAAGACGGTGATGAAGATGTTGGTGACGAAGATGAGGAAGATGATGATGGTTATGGTGTTGTTCAGGCTGTCCATGCGCTTCTGGTTGGCCTCTTCATTGATGTCTCGCCGAGCTGCAACAAGCACGCACATGTACACACACACCAAAAATAACAACAAAACTACATAGAAGTGGCAGAGAAATATTCCAATGCCTGTGTTTCTTTTCTTTCATGAGTCTTTTATATTCATAGTGGTTGCTTTCAGCTGTTTCCTGACAAAGCAGACCAGAAAGTAACCTGGACTCTCACTGCACTGCGTGTATTTGAAAAGTATATACATAGTGAGTGAATTAGTATGTTATATGATTGGTTAAAAACATGGAGGATGGAGAGTACGCCATATCTTAAGCTTAATGCTGCAATTTGATTGGCTCACCAATGATGATGATCAGGATTCCAGCCACTATCTGCAGGGCCAGGGAGAAGGAGATGAGTACCAGGACAGCAACGTAGTACCTGAAGAGGAGGAAGGAAATATATATGTGTCAATAAATACTATATGATATGATGCATCAGGGAATGTGACGTTATTGACGTCCGTATATATATTCTGCAGGATTAATAAACATTCTTTAATTTTAACTGAATTTGCAGCAAACCTTCAGACTTAATATTGTATATTACACACACACACACACACACACACACACACACACACACACACACACACACACACACACACACACACACACACACACACACACACACACACACACACACACTGTACCTGTATCCAGCTCCTTGTTCGATGACAGTCTTCATGTGTGTGATGTTAGCCAGGAACAGAGCGATGTCCAACATGCCCTCAGACGCTGTCTTCTTCGTAGCATACAGGTTCATGTTCAGATTAGAGGGTGAACCTCCCTGAAGAAGAAGAAGATGAAGGACAATAGATAGACCAACAGGCCATAAGTAAAGGAAATAAAAGGTCTCAAGGTTTCAAAGGTCATTTATTCAGAAACTAGTTATTCACAACAAACTGTCCAAGAGAGGGCAGCAAAGACCAATAATACTATCACTTCAAACTGCCAGGAAAAAACATTTCTTTCTGATTAAATAAAGTTTGTTCATTGTATTACTTATCTATTCTATAACCAAAAGTAAACAAGATATCAATTCAATCTGACATTATCCATCAAGAGAAAATCCATATAATTATTTAAAGATAAAACTCCATGTATATTATTTTAACATTGTAATTGTTTTTTCTTTACAATATATTTAGTCTCAGGAACCCCTCCACTCCACTCTCTTATCTTTGTAGCTCAGAAACAGAAAACTACATTCTTATCTATTGTGGCTCATTTATCGTAAGATCTATAATTGCAGCACATTTTCCAAAATGAAGTAGTTTTTGAATGATAAAAAGCTGTGTGTGTGTGTGTGTGTGTGTGTGTGTGTGTGTGTGTGTGTGTGTGTGTGTGTGTGTTAAGAGAAGAAAACCCTTTAACATCATTACTAAAAAGCCATAATGACTCATAGCGCATCAGGGACTAAAAATGGTCCAAATCTCATTAGAGCGCCGCTATAGTGCACAGACAGCAGATGCAGAGATTGGATTACAGAGCTGCTGTATGGATTATATACTGTATACATAGATGTCCTCAAATGGATCATTTAACCCGAGGCTTTGTTAGTTGAAACAGAGCAGTCTGTTTTTCTTTAAGCGCCACAGAAACAGAGATGTGTTGAGGGAAGACATAGATCACATACATAAAGCCAATCATGTGGAGCCTATGGGAACACATTGTATTTCATGGGCTCACTCTGCTGTCATGTTCCATACTGCTCCAAAATAAACAGAACGTCCACACTGCATGAACAGTAATTATTCAACAGGGCAGTTTCTCAGTGTGTGCTGCCTCGGTTTTTTCCAGTATCTCCAGTGTTTTTACAACTCTTCATATGGACTTATTATTTTGACTTTCAATAGAAATGTAAAAGAACAACAACTCAAACGAGTATCATAAAACAAAAATCCCAGAGGTTAGCGCTTGAAGGCAATACTAACAACTTATTTTAAATTGTTTTTTCGTTGGGGGAAATTAGCCCATAACCCTGTCTAGTCTACATATTTTTAGCTTTAACAAATTGGGCTAAAACCGGTCACTGGGTAAATGCATGTAAAATATGTAGGAGGATGGTAGATTGTTCTTCACTCAATCTACAGCCATTTGCCTGGGTTGTTGCACCGTGCACACAAGGAAGCTACATTTGTGGGCATAGCACATGTTTCTGTGACACCACCATGCTGCATGTAAACACAGTGTTCTTGTGGGCTTCGATCATGTGCCTTGGCTTCTTTCTTGGATAGCTCTTGCAAAATGGTATGTAGATAAACAATAGTACGACAAAACTACAGGGCAGTTCAGCAGGAGTGTTTACCACCACTTCCTTCTAGCCTGCTAGTTCTGGCTCACTTCCTCCTGAAAGAAGACGGACGTTTGGCAGATTGACTTTGGTACGATGAATAATCCACTCAGTGTTATACGAGGTTTATGGTTTATCATTACTGGGCCTTAACTTCTGGAACAAGATGTTGACATGTTCTGAGGTTGGTTTTGGACTTTTCGAAAGCCAAAAAAATAAAACATACTCTCTGTTTTATATTTTTGGATAACCTGCACCTTGCAGGATCCAAATGTTTACCCGGAGTTTAATTTCAAGTCTTAATAAGCACTTTTCTGTGAACATCAATTTAACCGCCCTTTTTCTTTGATTCCTGTACACGTGATGTATTTCTGACCTGGAAATCTTGATTTCATCCCCCCATAGAGTCTATGTAAGAGTACAGTTTGATCCAAACTGGGTTGTTCTCCAAGAAAGTATGAAGCAATTCCTGGAACTGTGAGACTGTCATAACACAGTGAACACGTGTACTGTGGGCTTTTGTATGTTTTTGAGTGTGTGAGATACATAGAGAGAGAGAGCTATGTAGAAAAAAAAAAAAAGGAAAGTCAGAGCTTGACGTGAGTAAGTGGACAGAGAGGGAGTGAGAGAAAAAGCATGTATATATATACTGTATACTGGCCGGGGTCCAACTTTCTAACTTTCTCCTTTGGGAACTTGGAGAACACTTTATCAACATCAGCCCTGGGCAGGCCGCCAACACACACACACACACACACACACACACACACACACACACACACACACACACACACACACACACACACACACACACACACACACACACACACACACACACACAATGTTCGTATTTAGTCTCCTGATTTTAAAGGCCCTAGTATGGTTTTGTCTGGACAGACGACCAAACTGCGGAATTATTACGCGTCGACAACTTACTAATCTTTTTTTTCACATTACATACCCAATGAATGTCTGGCTCATCCCTTGGTGTCTTTACAAGAGTTAAGGAGTTCTCGTGTGCTCGGTCCAGCAGTTGGGACCTGTAAGGACTACATCGCGGACTCCGGCCGCATTAGGGCGAAAGACCAGGAGACTGGGGGGCGTGGTGAAGAAGGGACTATTTATTTCACTATAGGGAGAGGATTACAGGACATTTGTTTCTCGTTTGATTATTATTTAGTTCTTTCAGTCCTAATTCGTACTATTCCGCGTTCATCACGGAAATTTTCTCTGCAATATCACGTCTGTTGTACCGTGCATTGTGACATTTCTATCGTCAGGTGTTACAAAACTTAACACGGTACTATCATCCACACACACA